AAAATCGAAAGTGCTAAAAGTCGTAAGAGCCAAAAGCCGTATCTTCCGTACCAGATTCACATCAGTTGGACAGCTCAAAGTCGCTTTGAATGGAGTTTGAGTAAGATTTCGGTGGCCAAGTGCACGACTATGGCTTGAAAGCATCTCAGCAAATGTATTAAAGCAAGCAGAGAACTTTTTGAGCATTTAATGTCCTTTTTTCTTCACCTATGTTGTTGTGAAATATTCTAAATTAGTGTTGTTACTTGATTTTATGTAAATTTGGGTTAAATTTGCGTGCGGTGGCAAGAGTTTGATAAGAAGATCGCAGAACTTTCGACGCACGCTGTAGGTTAGAAACGGGTGTAGAAAGCCCTAGCCTCGTTTGGTCAAATTCGAAAATCGATTCAAAATGTTGCTGACCTTTTTTGATAAGGCAGCACACAACTGAAGTACATCTCGATATCACACTCGTTTTTCAACTCTTAAAAGAACATTCTTTAATCTTTTAACAAAAATATCATTCGTTAATAATCTGAAAAGACAATTCTTTAATATTCTAGTGTTTTTGTATTGAGTTCAAAACTTGAAACCTACTTGGTTCATTGGTGAACAGCTGCCGGATCGAGCAGTTGCATTGTCTCTCAAACATTTCGTGTATCAATTGACCCATACATGCTCTACAATGTCAAGGGTGTAAAAATCTTACATTCAAATAATTAACTTTTAAAGATTTTACTTTTTGTTATCCGATGAAGAAACATTGCCAGCGGCCGGAATCGATTCTGCAGATTCAATTTGACAACTAGGAGTCGGAAGTCTCTTGCGCTTAATACAAGAAGTACTTTAAAAAGTAAAAATCTTCCCATGCTACGTTTACTACTGGTATGCCGAATATTTCGGCACCTTCTATAAGAAAGCCGATTTAGGTACAAGTTTTAACTTGTACTCATTTAACTGAAAGTCACACAAAATTGGAGCATTCTGTAGCTCAAGCCTATTTAAGTTAGCATTTTGATATCTCTAAAAAAAAAGATTTTCGAAACAATTTCACCAACAAGTTGTCCAAGGTGTGTTCACCATTTATCGAAGTGATCAAGTATTGTACAAGCTCACCCCTCTCATAGTGGAAAGTAGAGTAAGTACTAAAGTTATGGCACCCAAGTTTATATCAAGTTCGCAAACATTATTTGATTCTTTGCTTTGTGATTCATTGTCTAGCCCGCTTTAGATAAATAGTAAATAATATTGAGCATAAAGTATACGCAATTCAAGCCAGGAGAGCTCAACAAACAGAACTACATCAAATTTGTCATAACAGGACCAATACAGAACATTCACATTTTGAATCCTGAACGGTATGTTGACGGTCATTCCCGGAGAGACACTCACTCCCTTAGAAGTGGTGATTGGGAGCTCGGTCTGATTGTAGATTAGAACCTAAACCGGAGACTTTTGAATGAATTGCATCTAGCAAAATAAAGAGCTAAGATATTAGATATCAATAGAAAACTCCGAACTCTGATTCCCGTTTCGAGTTGACTGTCCAACACGCGTCCACACGTGTCCGTTCGCTCGTAACTTTCCAGGTTGAGCACCAGCCGGAGACCGTGATCCTTACCTGAACTTGTAACGAAAACATCTGTCGTCCCTTTTTGCCGTTGGGAAATTAAGGATTTTCGTGTTTTTATCAGCATCAATCCTTCGATTTTGACTATTTTAACTATCATTCGATGCAGAATAAAATTGCGCGTCGAATGATATTACCATTAACTCAAAATGTAATATCCAAACAAAGTTATGAGGCAAAAGGTTAAGTCCCGCTCATAATGGATGGGGTTTAGGTTTTTAGCTCATAACTTTGCGTGGATATTACATTTTGAGTTAATGTTGGTATCATTCGACGCGCAATTTTATTCGGCATCGATGAATAGTCAAAACAGTCAAAATCGAAGGATCGATGCTGATAAAAACACGAAAAACCTTAAATTATCAACGGGAAAAAAGGACCGACAGATGTTTTCGTTACAAGTTCAGGTAAGGATCACGGTCTCCGGCTAGTGCTCAACGTGGAAAGTTACGAGCGAGCGGACACGTGTGGACGCGTGTTGGACAGTCAACTCGAAACGGGAATCAGAGTTCGGAGTTTTCTATTGATATCTAATATCTTAGCTCTTTATTTTGCTAGATGCAATTCATTGAAAAGTCTCCGGTTTAGGTTCTAATCTACAATCAGACCGAGCTCCCAATCACCACTTCTAAGGGAGTGAGTGTCTCTCCGGGAATGACCGTCAACATACCGTTCAGGATTCAAAATGTGAATGTTCTGTATTGGTCCTGTTATGACAAATTTGATGTAGTTCTGTTTGTTGAGCTCTCCTGGCTTGAATTGCGTATACTTTATGCTGAATATTATTTACTATTTATCTAAAGCGGGCTAGACAATGAATCACAAAGCAAAAAATCAAATAATGTTTGCGATATAAACTGATATAAACTTGGGTGCCATAACTTTAGTACTTACTCTACTTTCCACTATGAGAGGGGTGAGCTTGTACAATACTTGATCACTTCGATAAATGGTGAACACACCTTGGACAACTTGTTGGTGAAATTGTTTCGAAAATCTTTTTTTTAGAGATATCAAAATGCTAACTTAAATAGGCTTGAGCTACAGAATGCTCCAATTTTGTGTGACTTTCAGTTAAATGAGTACAAGTTAAAACTTGTACCTAAATCGGCTTTCTTATAGAAGGTGCCGAAATATTCGGCATACCAGTAGTAAACGTAGCATGGGAAGATTTTTACTTTTTAAAGTACTTCTTGTATTAAGCGCAAGAGACTTCCGACTCCTAGTTGTCAAATTGAATCTGCAGAATCGATTCCGGCCGCTGGCAATGTTTCTTCATCGGATAACAAAAAGTAAAATCTTTAAAAGTTAATTATTTGAATGTAAGATTTTTACACCCTTGACATTGTAGAGCATGTATGGGTCAATTGATACACGAAATGTTTGAGAGACAATGCAACTGCTCGATCCGGCAGCTGTTCACCAATGAACCAAGTAGGTTTCAAGTTTTGAACTCAATACAAAAACACTAGAATATTAAAGAATTGTCTTTTCAGATTATTAACGAATGATATTTTTGTTAAAAGATTAAAGAATGTTCTTTTAAGAGTTGAAAAACGAGTGTGATATCGAGATGTACTTCAGTTGTGTGCTGCCTTATCAAAAAAGGTCAGCAACATTTTGAATCGATTTTCGAATTTGACCAAACGAGGCTAGGGCTTTCTACGCCCGTTTTTAATCTACAGCGTGCGCCGAAAGTTCTGCGACCTTTTATGCAGCTCGATGATCATTATCTGTTCAGTGTCGATCTTTATCCACACCTTTTGCACGTATAAAAATTTTTTTGATTTGTTAAAAGTAATAGAAAAATAAAAAATACGCATAATTGTAATTTAAAATACAAAACGACAGGATGTATAGGTCATACAATAAAGGTAGCAGAACTTTTGGCGCACCCTGTACAATGCATTTTAGATTACAAGCTAATCTGAAGACCGAAATCGGTAAACAGTGCTTGCCAATGTGTGAGACGATGGAATATCTACCACAACAAGTAATAGGTTTTTTGTAAATGTCCAGACATTATAAACGCTTAAGTATTGTTTTTGTTTAGTTGTTGTTTGGTATAAATTTTGAAAGCATCCACCCAATCCTTTCAGGAGGTCAGCACAATCCCGAAGAGGCTCTTTCCAACCTTCTCCGAGAAAAGGCTGCTGACAAGAGAAGTAATGTTTTTAAGTTTCAAAAAAGAGAAATACAACCTTATTACTTTATTCACAGGCTTGTATGCCTATATCGTATCTATTTATCGTTTAAAATTCTCAAATCAAGAGGGTCGAGAAGCATTTGGTTGGAGTTGACTCGAAGGGAACTCGCTTCTTCGAGAATGTCACTCTCTCTTGTCAATCTTCAGCCTACATCACAGAAGAGTTTGTGAGATTTAGTCTGCCGGCTACGGCCACTAACTCAATTCGTAGGCAAACGCAACACTGAAGAAAGTTCGCCTCTTGTTCCAGGAGCTGATTGACTCAAAAATGATGATTTATTTATTCAGCGACTTCCTTGCACAAACATTAGAGTAAGAAAAAAAGAAAAGCAAAAAGCTAATACCGACAGTTTGGCCGTACATGGATGGCCAGTCGAGGAGGAGGACGGCTTCGCCAGATCAAACTCGATCGTCGATATGCTTCTCTTTGAAAGGGAGGAATGCCTCGAGGTCTTGTGGACGCTCAAAATGGTGCTTTATCCTTTCAATTTGTTCAAAGTGATTGTATTGAAAAATATTTTTAGGAAAACGCAACGCTTACCAACTTATCAATGATCGATTTTTGGGTAAAGAGGAGACCGTGGGACGTGGTGAATTGGGTCTTGTTACGGGATTTCGATCTTAAACAACAAGTTGAGAAGGTTGTGTAGAAGACGCCTTTTTATTATTCTATTCAAAGAGATTCTTGTCTGAAATTGCTATCGTTAACTTTTTCCCAAAAAGGTATACGATCACAATGCGTTTAATGAGATAACAATTGCTTTTTGGCAAAAGAGCAAAAGTTTAGCCGAGGGCGGGATTGAACTCGGATAGAAGAAATTTGTGCTGCAAGTGCATTAACCATTAGCTCACGAGCTTTTCAGATGATCTTGGGAGAGCTCTCACTAGACGAACTCGCTAAGTACTATCATGACAACAACTTTTTCTCCTATTTTCATTCGGACTTTCAGAGGGTTTGTGATTTAAATTGTGAACGTTAGAAATTGGGATTCAAATTGAAGCCAATTGATTGTGTTTCCAGTATTGGACCGACCCGATTCTGGAATTTCTCTGGAAGGCCGAATTGACGTTGCAAAGAGAGAACAAACAGCTCCTTCACATGCTTCGGGTAATAGAATTTTAGTTTATTCTTCTGAGGGTCTAGCTCAGCGAGAATGAAAAATGAAATTTTTGTTGGTGATATCGATGTCGGTGATGTCGGTGATTTTGGGTATGTCTCCTGTAGCCAAGGCCACTTTCTAACTGATTGATGCTTCCAGAACCTTTACATGACCTTACAAAGTTGAGAATCGCGGTACACCTGGCGAAAAACCCAATTAAGATTTTCGAGAAAAGACATACAAAGATTCCAGAAGCACGAATTAGTTAGAAAATGGGGTTGGCTACAGAAGACATACTCAAAAATCGCCTCCAAAAATTTTATGCAGGTTCATTGAGTTCTCGCTGAGCCAGACCCTCAGAAGTGAGTCGCTATAATTGGCGATCATCCTCTAGTTAGACTAAAGTTTGAAGTATAGAACGAAGTAAGCTACTTCTCATTCCCTTACAGGAATACAGAGAGCCAGAACAAGAAGGTGGAGATGTGTTAGAAGTTGTGGATCCACCTTTCTTCAATTTTAGATACAAACTCAAAAACATGCTTGCAAAAACAGAACTCTAAACTTTGGTATTGATATGTGTTCACTAAACTTGATTGTAGAAACCTTTTGCCGATTTCAACATAACAAATGCCGAATACTGCATCACGAAGAAACTACCCGTATTTATAGCGGAGGAACTTGTGACTTTTCGTAACGCGACACAAAAGCTCGCTGTGAGTACTTTTATTAGCAGCAAACATTCTTATTATCAGCTATAAAGTTTAAGTTGAAGTTTGTTATACAGTGCGTTTCATATTCTTACAGCCACCCCCTAAAACCAGTGTTTCTCGAAAACCATGATAGTTATCAACTTAATTCCTTTTGCAATGGAAAGAGCACACCTTAAAACCCCAAAGATACTTATTTTCGTATCACTGTAACTTTCCATAACAATTATTTTTCAATAACATGGTTTCTCGACCGTTTCAAATTATTACATCTACTTTGTAATGTTATTATTTCTTTAACTTTTTTTTCTTCTAAGTTTCCATTTTTTTTGCTTAATCTCACTAATTTCTTTTTTAGACGCAACAGCTCGAGAATGGGACACGGAAATCTGCTTTTCGATTACGAAAAAGGCCAAATAGATGGGAGGCATGGCATGACTCTTGGATGGCACGACTCTTGGAGGAAAGGAAAACTCTATTAATGCTATCTGAAGAAAAGATCTGAAGCGCTCCAGACAAGCAATTCAATTCTACGTGAAAAACAAAGCCGCAACAGCAAAAACAAAGATGAAAACCGGACCAAAACCAAAGCTGACACCTCGAGCTAGGCGTCACATTGTCAACAACATTCACGGCAAATTCATCAACCAGGTCAAAAGTGAGCTGAAAATCAATGCTTCGAAGGTGACTATCTGGCGTGCTGTCAAAGAAAATCCGCATATCGATCGCGAAGACCTCAATCACGCCCCAGCTTTGAAGCCGAACACAAAGCCCGCCTTCGCTTCGCCAGAGATTATATGAACCAGGACTGGAACAACGTTGTAGAGATTTTGAATTATATCAATTTATTTTTTAGGTAATCTTCTCGGATGATTATCATGGACTATCATGGTTCTCGAGAACACTGGTTTTAGGGGGTGACTGTAAGAATCTGAAACGCACTGTATCACAAAATGGTCTCTCTCTTTTCTGATCATAGCAATTTTAGCGTTCTTTTGACGCTGCTTTCGAGGATTACTTAGCAGTATACTACAAGAAAACCCAGATCGATGAAGATTTCGAAAAGTGAGTTGGCAAAGCAAAAATTCAATAGTACATTTATGATAATGAATTTGGATTTAGAGCTAATTTCACGAAAATTTACAAGATTGACTCTCATAGTGGATCCTTTCAGCTAGGACTTCCCTTTTTAAGACCGCCATTCAGGCCATCCACGGTCGCGACATTTATTCGAGTTTATATTCATACTTTATTCAAGACAGGAAATAAAGTGTAGTCAATAAGGCAAAATGATAAGCAGAGAACAAAAAATTGAAAGCCGTGGGATGATATGGGAATACTGTGGATGAAAAAAAATTCGCAATGACCCGAATACATCAACTTTTAATAAATGTGAATTTCAACAGTCTTAAAATGTAAATAGGATGGTGAACGGAAAGACTCAATTTAGTTTACAAGTTTGATCAAGTATGCAATGCTCTCTTAAAAGTGCTTAAATTTGGAGTATCTCTAATGTGGGGTGGGAGACTACAACACGATAACATTTCAACTACAACACGATAACAACACGATTAGAGAAGAAATTTCTAGTGGATTTACACAAAACTAAATCTTTATGCAGAAGAAAAGGCCCTGACCTTGCTCCGGATCGTTTTTGAGAGGGAGAAAATTCATAAACGACGGAATACCTTTGACAATTTTAAAACATTTTACTAGATCAATAATAAGACGGTGGTCTTGAAAAGATTAAAGATTACAAATTTTTCATCTATGCTTATGCCTAAGAGAGGAGTATTTAGTAGAGCTATACCTTAAAAAGAGCTATATGAGTAAAATATTTTTGGATTTTCTCGATTTTAGCGATGAGAAAGGAAGAGC